CCCCTGCTCCCTGTGGGGACCTCAGATTGTCCCCATCCCCTTCTCCTCTGTGGGGACCTCAGGTAGATTCCCCCCCACATCCCCCCCGGTGCAGGCGCTTTGGGGTCGTGGCATCGCTCAGGAGGGCCTGGGGTGCTGCCTGCTCTGCCTGCATCCTGCAGGGACCCCATCCCCTGCTCCCTGTGGGGACCTCAGGTCAGATTCCCCCCCACATCCTCCCCGGTGCAGGTGCTTTGGGGTCGTGGCATCGCTCAGGAGGACCCGGGGTGCTGCCTGCTCTGCCCGCATCCTGCCCGCCCCACACTGGGACCCCATCCCCGAGGGCTCTGCTGGCCTGGGGTGAGCCGTGCCTCAGTTTCCCCCATCATTCTTGTGGGCTGGCGGGCGGCACGTGCCTGGGGAGCGTGGGCCCTGCCTCCCCAGCCGGGGTGCTGTGCTGACGCCGCTGCGCACACTTGCCAGCCACAGCAGGAAGCGCCAGCTCCCTCAGCGCGGCCTCGCCGGGGGGGGACACGGAGGGGGACGGCCACCTCTCCGTAAGTGCTGCTTGCCTTCTTGCCCACCCTCTTCTCTGGGTCACCCACCCCCCCAACAACTCCCCGTGGTGGTGTGAGATGGTGGGGGGGACCTGAGAGCTTCACACCGAGGAGGTGGGTGGAAGGCTGAGGACGTGCAAACTCGTCACGCTGAGCTGGGGAAGGGGGTCGGTGGGGTCTCAGCGTGTCCCCAGGGCTGGGGAGCTCAGCCCAAGGGTGGCTGGGGTTTGGGGTAAGGCTGGAGGAGGAGGTGGCACCCTGGGGGGGCACCAAACTTTTCTGAGAGCGACTGGAAAAACTTCCTGGTCCGGGGCTGGGACAGGAGGTGGCCCTGAGCCACCACGGGGGACCTTGGGGGGTGTCACCCCCAGGAGAAGGCATTGGGGGGCTGCTGGGGGGACACACAGAGGCTGCAGCGAGGGAATGGTGGTGGTGGAGGAAGGTCTTGGTTTCATTTCATGGGTTGCTCCATCCCTGTGTGCCTGGCTGGGGCTGTGTCACGCGTCTGGCACGGTGGGGGAGAGAGGCAGGGTTGCCCAGGACGTGTCCCCATGCCTGAGGGGATGTGGGGTGGAGGTACGGGGGGCTCGGGTGGTGGCCAGAGCCCCTTCTCCATCCTCCATCCTTGGGGATGCCCAGTTGGGGGGCAGCTGGGATGTGCCCCCGGGGCAGGCAGGGAGCGGAGTGTGGGGTGCTTGGCCAGAGGGGTCCGAGCTGTCCCTCGTGTCCCTGTTGGGCTCGAGGGGACATCGAAAGGTGGGATGTGTCCTTGTTCTTGCTGGTGGCCTCCAGCTCTGTCCATCTCCAGCCACGATGGTTGGAGACAGGGGCAGCGGCATGTCACCTGCAGGATATTCCCTGTGGGATGTCACCTGCAGGATACTTTCTGTGGGATTTCACCTGTGGGATGCTCTCTGGGATGTCACCCATAGGATATTCCCTGTGGGATGTCACCTGGGGGATGCTCTCTGCATCCCACTCCCCAGCAGCATCACAGGGGGGGATGCAGGGACACAGAGGGGACATCCATCCCCAGCCCTGGCCCCACAGGCTCAGCCCCATCACCACACTGGGAGCGGGAGGGGACACGTGGTGGGAATGGGGCTGGAGGAAGGAAACAGAAGAGTGAAGAGAAAGTGGGGAAAAAGGAGAAGAGCCCGAGTGGGACGTTCCTGGTGCCTGTGCTCAGCGATCGCCACTTCCAACCGAGAGCTGAGCTCCCTCTTCCCCAGGACCTGGCTGGGGCCATCCTCCCCCCTGCCCCCTCCCTGGGAGGGTCCTTCTGAAACCCAGAAGTTGGCTTTTTTAGCTAATTAGCAGAGGAGAGCTTTATTTTAGATATTTCTGGGGGGGAGAAGCTCTTAGCAAAGCCTTAAGAGGAGCATCTCCGCACCTGCTGTCGAGCTGGGGAGAAGAGGGGGGGCTGATTTTGCTTCCTTCCCCCCACCCCGTTGTTCTTTGAGCCTGGTTGAGCAGGAAGCAGGGGTCCAGCACCGTGTGGGGGCTGTGGGCTGGTGTTGCTCAGGTGGGGAGCATCCTTCAGCCAGCCCTGGTAGCCCACATGGGTAGGGGACCCGGCGCCGAGGCGGCCGGAGGGGTGCTCTGCAAAGGATGTGGGTTGCTGTGAGGTCCTCCCTTTGCACCACCCGAGGTGCTGATGTGCAAAAAAAAGATATATATATATGTGTATATATATATTATAAAATGCAAAAGCAGGGTGTGAGCTCAGGTGCAGGTACCCATCAGCGTGGCTGGGCGAGGATGCCCACCTCCGTGATGCTCAGTGCCCAGGTGGGCATCCCAGTAACAACCCCCAGGATGTGGGGGGGTCTTTTTCCCTCTTCCCTGGTTCCCTTGGAGAAACCTGGGAAAGAAAAGAAAGCCTGGGCTCGCAGTGCTGCCAGCGAACCCCCTTTGTTCCTGGACCCCAAAGTGCCAGGCGACACGGCGGGTATTTTTAGGGCCTGGGTGACTCAGGAGAGCTGCTTTAAAAAGCTGGAGCTAGCGGGAGGCAGCACACGGCGTCCCCTGAGCACACAGGGACTGGAATTACAGCCCAGCCTGGTGCAGATGATGGTGCAAATCCCAGGGAGGAAGGAAAAAAAGGGGGAAGGGGGAGAGAAAACCTCAGAAGCCAACCCCAGGATGGGTTCCTGTGGGTTTTTCTTGCCATCACCCCAATCGGTGCATGGTTTGCAGAGGTTGGTGGGGAGGGGGTGGCTGCAGCCCCCCAACCCATGTGGTGCTTGGGGGTGTTGGTGGATGAGAAGCTCAACAGGAGCAGGCACCAGCAAGCCCCCTGCCCCCTGGGCTGCATCCCCAGCAGCTTGGCCAGCAGGGCCGGGGGGGGATTCTGCCCCTCTGCTCTGGGGAGACCCCCCCCCCAGTGCTGCCTCCAGTTCTGGGGCCACCAACAGCAGAAGGACATGGAGCTGTTGGATGGGGCCAGAGGAGGCCCCGGAGATGCTGGGAGGGCTGGAGCCCCTCTGCTGGGAGGGGGGGCTGAGAGAGTTGGGGGGGGTCAGCCTGGAGAAGAGAAGGCTCCGGGGAGACCTTGGAGCCCCTTCCAGTCCCTCAAGAAGGGGGGCTCCAGGAAAGCTGGGGAGGGACTCTGG